GTTACTATGACAAAAGTCTTTTCTTTACAAATATAAAAAAAATTGGGTGAGGTGGACTTTAAATCGAATCAGCTACTTATTCATGCTTATTTTCGCGAGTATATTATTTTGCGATCCAATACTGCATGTCATCATATCAGTCCTACATACTTTACGGTCATCCACATAAAGGACAAAATATTAATTTACATTATTATTTTTTCATTGTAAACGCTATCTGTTTTCCCAGTCCACTGTTTTATAAATCAATTGTAAATTTTCTCGAATATTCTGATGCATTACAAACACGAAAATTGGTACAGTCACGAAATATGCTTCGAAACTCGAAATTAAGCATGACCAAAGTCACTGAGCTTCAATCGTTGTAACAGTAACAAATTTATCTATTATTGAATAAACAGTTTTTAACAATAGACGATTCGTATAAAAGATCTACAAATCTTGTAGTTCTTCCAATAGTTTATTTTTTTTGGCCCTCGAATTCTTGAGTTGTAAGCACGTTTGCGTTTTTTAATTCCCCTAGCTCTTTCAGCTGATTAAGTATCTTTCCTCGTAGTTCCACCTAAAACCAAACGATTGAATTTCATTGATAGCAACTTTTTATACTTGGCCAAAGTACATTACATACCTTATTATCTTCTCTAGGTCCGTTTCTGTCATTGATAGAAGTAGAGCTTGCTTTCGTTTTGGAAGATTTTCCTTTAAAAAAGGAAAATTGAGGCGGCTCATCTTCGCTTTGATGATCATTGTTTACCTAAAAACAGTAGATAATTAGACGGTGTAATTTGATGGATGAGAATTCTTTGTGCGTTCCCACGTGCTGAATAGAGTTGTAACAAATAATTGTTTTATGATGTGCAAATTGTATTTTGGATGTTTTTTATGCAATTATAAATAGAAAAGCTAAGGTAATACGTATAATAAAAAAGCGGGAAGTTCAAATGAATAACCTACCAACATTTTGGCCCAGACCTGTAGTTTAAATTCAGGCATATCTGGGTGCTTTTCACGAAGGCTGTCAATCCTTGCATCAAGCGATGAAGTAACATTGCTGTCATCTTCGTCATCTCCTAAAAACATCCATTTTTTAATGACTTGAGCATTATTATTATGTATTATAGAGTATTAAAATAATGAAGATATTGATGTAAATTAAACATACCTATTTGTCGTGCCCGTTTTGTGGGGGTTGCAGTCGAAGCGCCTGAGCCATGTTCACAGCAACGTTTGTTCGATGTTACCGTCTTCTGTAGCCATAACGACACCCATCCTTTTTTCTCTAGTGAGTATGCTTTTGCCAAGTGCAGTTCATTGGTAATATTGAACCGCCTGTTCCCGGGTAATCCATAATAACCAAGCTCAAATTGCTTGCTGTCTTTCACTTCAATTTCCTCCGGGAAAGTTGTCGCCAAATACTCTTTAAGAGCGGCTGCCTGTAAAAATCGAGAATCTCAATTCAGTTGTAAAAATTCGAATTTTTTTTTAAATCGCCAAAAGGACCCATTTAGTGAACTGATTTCAGGAAAAATATTAAAAAGTTNTTGTGCTCTATGTAGTGGACATATTGTGATTGACTTGTGCTTGTCTTCTATCACAAAAATACCTGTAAGAATGGACGTGATAAGGATCAACTATAGGTTCTATGTTATGTCAATGCATTAATTTTGACAAAGCTGTAGGAGGGCGAACACTAAAATCTTGAAACATTCAACTAGAAAAATCAATTAGTTTTATAATTATAATACTCAAGTAACTTATTATTAAAGTACACTACTAATACAATGATATTAATACCTGCACGCGATAGTAAAAGTTTCATTTCATTGTCGATTTCACTGTCTCTTATTTTGCAAGACTGCAGATGTCCTTGAATCTCTCTGTCGCAAGCTTCCAGTGCTACGAATGTAACTTGATTGGGGTACTCCTTGCTGATACCACAACTACTTGCACTTTGTAAGAGCAAAGAATAACTACACGCCATTTTAATAACAACTTACTTCAAAACATATTGAGCAATTACCAGTAAGCTACCACAGTCGCGTCAACTTGTGACTGGAACGTCCCTGTGAATTTTTAACTTATTGCTTTGAGTGATTGCGTGACACAAGAGGCAACTTCGGTGGCACAGCAATGGACATTAATATATCACGTCCGGTTGTTTGCTTACACTCGCGATTTAATGTGAATTTCAGTTCAATGAACTGATTTAAATGAACTGGATTACATGGATCATGTTCTAGAGATGGATTCGTGGTAGAATATCAAGTGAGTCTGAGCTATTGCGTGAGATCGGCGCTATATTAAGATTGCTTACCCGACTATTGACCAGATGTCAATATAGCTCGTATAAAGGTCATCCTAAAGTTCAAAATGCTTGTTAAAACTTTCGTTTATATGTGTTATCTTTCTTTTAAACAAGTTAACAACCCTTAAATTAGGCAAAATTATTTTTTTAAGTCATGACTTCACGAACGTCGACTTGTTTGCGTGACAATACCGGTAATGAAATCTCGTTTACCTGCCTTGACAGTAATATTTCTCAAAGCAAAAATACTTCGATTCCCGAGCTGAAAATTCTCTTGTATAAACTTGAATAGACAAGCATTAATTCGATTAATGTCGATTGAACTGAATATATTTAGGTACCAGGAGTAGATTTTGCTGTTCAAACTTTGGCATTTTTTTCATGTCTACTCGACACCGGAAACTATCGTGTGTTCAAAAATCCAGAAAATATTCAGTAAGTACACCCGAGACTTGAAACTTTCAAATTTTCAAGATGAAATGTATCTCCATGTCTGTGTAAAGTATGAATTTCGTTTGGCTTCATTCGGATCTTCGGTGTCTCTTCAAAGTCACTCAATTTTGCATCGTATCCGAACGTCAAAATTACCTCTCAAGGCCGTAATTTCGATTTTCGAAAATATCTCCGGAAAAAAAAATCGCAGRAACTTTTTAATATTTTTCCTTAAATCAGTTCACTAAATGGGTCCTTTTGGCGATTTAAAAAAMAAWTCRAATTTTTACAACTGAATTGAGATTCTCGATTTTTACAGGCAGCCGCTCTTAGAATTGTCAAAACTTGGAACGTTCTGGGTCTTGGAATAACCTATCGCCTTTGACGATGACAACCTTTTTTGAAATAGGTGTATCCATCCCTTCCAAGAGACTTGACTGAAAATTCATGTAGTGGATGTACTTTCTGTTAGGAGTCCATGTAAATGCTTTCTGTGATACAAGCTCTACAATGACTTTATGAAGATCGGGAAGGGCTGATGCTCTGATATGATTGCCAGACCTCTTCACTAAGGAGATTTCTCTATCAAAATTGCTCAGGACAACCTTTGTGACATTGACTGCTCTACAGTAACGATCAATAGTCTTGGGGTTTTTAGCATTGGGGCCCAACTTTCTTACAACTTCTTTCAAAAGACGATTTAGGAATTCCATATTGAGGTCAAGAGGAATGTTATTTCCATAACCAGACATGTTGCATGCAAATCTATTCCACACAAGTCCATATGCATCCTTTGGTGAAAGCAATGCATTTATCTGAAAAAGTAGAGTTAAAGCTTCCAGAGCATATTTCGTACTTGCTGAATCATTTCTTAAGTAAGGGAGTTGAAATTTCCAACTAATTGCAACAGAAGGTTTCTCAACGGTTTTCATACCAGGGAACCATCCTCTATAACATATTAACAATCTTTTGAAGTCGAATTTGGGAAACAGGTCGAACTTTATTTTATGCCATAGTTTTTACTAGTATGGAAACGAGGCTGGCAACTGGAAGTTGGCGTTTTTCTTATCATAGATCTCTCTAATCACATCCAAAATCACCAGATACACTCTAAAACGTCTTTAGGAAGTCTTTCAACTAAATTATGAGTACAAAAACATAACAAAAATAAAAAGATCAGAGAGCTATTAAGAGAGTGATTATGAAGCGGCAATGGCAGAGGCGACATTACTGTAGAGGTATTAATTATCATACCGTACAAATGAGTGCACTTTCAATCGTTAATGATAATATTTATGCACAATCTTTTCTATCTTTATGCAAGACTATGGTGGCCAAAGGCTGCCATTGGATTTCCAATAAAAAAATTCTATATTTCAACGAATTCAAATATAAAACTATATTGAAAATTGGTTTGAAACTAAATTAAATCTAATTTTTTGTTTTGTTTTAATTCTAAACAAGTTTAAATATAAAATAAATATATAAATCGATTCAATTTTTTTTCAGATCCAAACGCGTTTAAAAACTGATATACAAATTAAATTTAAATTCAGCTCAAAAGAAAATTCAAAACGATTTTTTTTTCTTTTTGAGATGTAAATATATTTTTTTTGCGAAGGCGATTTGAAATTCGTTTGTAAATTGAAAACAAACCTAAAACGAAGTGCAAACCGATATTTTAGCGGCCGATGGCTGCCACAGTATCCCAGCATTCCTTGTAGAGGGATCTAGCAGTGTTTGCAGTGTTTCAAAATGGTGGACGGTGGATATTTTCGAAACGACACTTGGAAAGACGACTCTGATCTGCCTAATGATTTAAAAAAATATGTCCAACAGCTTCTTAAGCGAAGCGAGATCTTTAGCTTTATGAAAAGGAATTATCCCAGTTATGCTTGGAGCAAGCGAAGCCTTGACAGAAGCCTTCGATATTTTGGTATTTTCTACAGCGATGGTGAAATCTCTGTTGATGATGTAAAGGACGCTGTCAAGAAGGAGCTAGATGGGCCAGGGAGGCTTATAGGATACAGAGCGATGCAAAAAAAAAAGAGGATAGAACATGGTCTTAATGCACCCAGAGATCTTGTACATGCAGTCATGCAAGATTTGGACCCTGATGGTCTAAAAGCTCGAGGTCTTGGCATGAAAGCGAGATGAGAGGATGAGAGAGATGGCGGACTCATTGTGAGGACGCCCGAACAAGGCGGACGTGAAATTGTACTTGTAGCTTCTTATTATATGTTTTCTGTACTGTTTTCGCACCATGATATCGATAGAAGAGGTTAAAAAACTTATAGATGCAGAAGTTAAGCCTTTAACTGCAAAAATCAAGGAATACGAACGAAAAGTTGTTGATCTTGAAAAGTCACATGGCTTCRTGTCGACAAAGTATGACGAAGTCTTAAAGCAACTCCAATCTGCCAACTCCAAGCTAAACAAACTGGAAAAATCGTCAGGAGATACTGAAAATATCAAAATAGCAGTCGACAGTCTAGAGCAATATATTCGACGCGACTGTATTGAAATAACGGGCATAGATTCGAGGATGCTCCTCGAACATCAATCCTACGAAGATGTGGTTCGGTCCCTAGGAACGGAAATGGGCGTCGAAATAGCCGACGAGGACATATCCACTGTCCATCCTCTACCAACGTATGACACAAAGAAAGACAAGAAATTGATTGTTAAGTTTACCAGAAGAGACGTCAAGAATGAGTTTTATAGCAAGAGGAAACATGTAGCTGGTAAAAAGATCTCAAGCCTCCGATCTTTGAATATAAACAGCGACAAAAAAGTCTACATATCTGAATCCCTAACCCCYCTAAGAAAGAAGATATTTGGAGCAGCAAACAACCTAAAGCGTAAATGTCAATGGAAATATATATGGAYAAATAACGGACGTATATATCTCAAAGAATCTGAGTATACCAAGATTTACACAATTGATTCTATTCACGACCT